GGTGGCGGTGGCGGTGGTGGTCGTGGTGGTGGTGGTGGTGGCGACGGCGGGACCTTGGAGAGACGAGTACGCCCAGGAATTGGACGCGTTGAAAACGTCGACGCAAGCGGTGCAGATAAGTCGAGTGCGGTTCGCTGGGCTCGTGCTCGCCAAGATACGAGGGTGGGCTCGGGGCCGGAGAGTCTGCTACTAGCGAGAAGGGAGGGAGGTATATTGAGTTTCTCGCGGTAACGCGAAATAATACATATATAAGCCGTCGAAGATGTAATCAGGTTTAATTTAAGCTTCGTGACCTAGAAACGCTTATATTAATTCGGGAAGTCGCTTCGGGAGTGCGCGCACGCCACTACGTGTACCAGACTTCCTGGCGTTTAAGAGCGGCTAGATTTGTTGATAACAAGTTTGCGCTTTAAATTTGTGGCCCTTGGAAATTCAAGTGGCTGTATTCAGCAAACGCGCACCGAGCATTGCTTTACAATTAGACGCGTTTTGCGGAAGTTTTGCGCAGAGTTTATTATTTTTTTTTCTCCATCGGTATTACGTCATAATTTAGAGTTGGACGATTTGTTTTTGCTCTTTATTCGATATGTGGCTTGTAGTTTCTGCTTTGTCGAAAAAATTAAAATCTATAAACTTTTTTTATTCTACGAAGAGGACGGACGCGTATGTAGTTTGCATAATTATGGAAAATTCCTGAACGAAAACAAGATAATAAGGTGATCTTTGCTTCAATATATGCAAACACTAATATATAATTGAATATGAGAGATTGATGTGTAAGTTGATGTGTGTAAGTTAATAATATTAAGATTGTCGGAGCTTGAATGAATGTCTTGATCAATTGCTAATAAGTGAATATAAAAGTTCGGACTTGTATGAAATAAAAATGCAGCTGAAATATAAACGACGTCGTCTGTGTAATTTTCACGAAGCGTTAAAAATTTGACGGGGTCCCGTGGAAGTGGAAGGGGAAGTGAAAATATTATTGGAATAAACGAGTATTAAAAATTATTCTGAAAATAAATTAAACAAAAATTTTTTTAACATTTTTTGACAGACAGTTTTTAATACTGTTTTGATTTATTTTCCCATGACGAATAATATTATATTTAATTTCAAGTTATGAAAGTGAAAAAAAAAAAACTCATTTTAGATGAGATGTGCATATTTCAAATAGAAAGATAAGAGCATTTTTTCACCCGGTAAATTCTATAATCAGATTGGTGCACAGTGAATAAAAACTCATTTATATTTCATAATTCATCTTGCGAAACTCTTAATTATTTTTAAAATAAGTACTAGTGCAAATTAATATTCGAATAATTGCAAAACGTCGCTATATACTATTTTATGTTGTAAATCATATTATATTAAAAGATAATTAATAATAAAGTGCTTTAATAATTATTTAGAAGTATTTCGCATATTAAATTGGAATTTTTAAGTATTAATATACGTCATGCAGGAAGCATTTGTCAATTTAGAAAAGGATGACTATCTGACTTTGTGTAACGGTTAGGAACGAATGATAAATAATTGTCAAGTTATTCATTTTAAGTTTCATTAGTGTTGTGGCTAGAAATTCTTAATGACTACCCCACACAAATTATTTATCTATTAACTGACACTTGTTAGTATTGAATTTCAGTATCCTGACGTAGCTCAAGCGTAGATAAGATATCAAAGGGGAAAAAACAATCGTGCAAATGCCATGTCTATTATTGTTTTAAGATCGTGGTATTTTACAAATAATACATCTTTGACAAAAAATCTCTAAAAATCGTGATTTACGTATTTATTAGATTGTGCATAAAGTTAAGTAAGAGTAACGGAGCTCATTTAAATGAATAAAAATAAATATCTTTATTATTGAAATTTAAGGGCTATAAAAGTGCATCGTAAAGAGGTAGAGAGAGGGGGGGGGGAGAGAGGGAGAGAGAGGGAGAGAGTGTGAGAGAAATGATAATCCCAAAGTTTCAAACATTTACTAAAGTAATTCACATCTGCGTCACTTCCGCGCAAACTCATATTTCATATCAATTTAGTTTTAAAAATTTCGTAGAGTGCTTGGCGTATGAGGTGGGTGGGGCGAGCTGATGGTCGCATAGTTAAGTCGATTCCGCGAGTGTTACACTCGCAATTGCGTTTGCGCGCCAAGATGAGAAGCCCGGAAGACTGGAGTGCGTGTAGCTTTGGTCCCGTGGAGGACAATAAAAGTTGGCGCACATACGGAGTACCGCCGATGCAAGTCAGCTTCCGTACAATTCTTGGCGGAAATAAAAGCGATATAACTTTGAATGTCATAAAGCGCCTGCTGCAGGCTCAAAGTATCCCCTCCTCCGCTCGCCCCCCTGCTGTATTCATCATAACTACGTACGCCACTAGACCCTGGAAATTTTTACAGTAACAACAACAACCGCAACTACGACAACGACGACAACGACGACAACGACGACAACGACGACAACGACGACAACAACAACAACTATTATAACAATAATCATACGGATTGTATTTAAAGTCGACACTTTTTTTGTATGATTATTACTAAGCGCGACAACGGCGACAACGACGACAACAACAACAACTATTATAACAATAATCATACGGATTGTATTTAAAGTCGACACTTTTTTTGTATGATTATTACTAAGCTATAAACAGAAATAAACAGATATACTTTCATATGTATATGTATATATTCTTTTTGTAATGTAAAAAGAACCACAGTTTGGCCTCAATTTTTCTGTTTCATTCTCTACAAGATATGCTTCTTCCTCTTTATTAACCTTTATAGAGACATTGTCTGAAACTATTTTCTGTTTCATTTTTATATCGGGTACATAAAATAAACATTTTATCGCATGGACATTATTCGATGCAAGCGTATGTCATTCGGCGTAACTTTGCTCGCTTCATTATATCTGGAGGAGAATGAAAGATATCGAGAGAGAGAGAGAGAGAGAGAGAGAGAGAGAGAGAGAGAGATATATGTTGTTTTTCATGCTCATAGAAATGTCCAAGATAACAGTTTCGGGGCGATTGTTAGATTTGCAAAGCTCTGAACCGATTGTTCGACGAGATTGCAAAAATCAATAATAGACTACGTCTGTAAATAATATTTTAAGATGTCAATTAGTATAATTATGATTTCATTTCGATTTTTCAATGTTTTTTGCACAAAGTGACGCGGCTTCAAGACCACCGGTCGACAAAAACGTGTGCCGAGTGCTAATTCCTGGCGATCGATTTGACATTGACGAAGACATTTCCCATTGATGAAGACAACAATGTTGTCGATGTGAGCATTAAGGATAGTAATTGCGCGGTACCCGTGAAACGGAGATTTTTAAGAATGGAAAGGCTTCATCGCGTAAACCTTATCCATGCGGAGAGAACGACCGAATCGTGTCGGGCGGGCATGATAACTCAACAATACTAGACTCAACATCCCGAGATTTTTGTTTTGTTCCCGTGGGAGATTAATAATTATTGCGCTGGTAGTTCGCGTATGGCCTGTTTATCTTTGTCTCCAGGATTTCACCACTCTACATGTCAAGGCTCGTCTAGCTATAGTAGCACCATCTACCTCCGCCCCTTTAGAAATTAAGAAGTTGAGCAGCTCCCTGGAAGAGAACGGCTCCTCATCCGAGGCGAATTTCACCACGTAATGAATGATAAATTATCAAGATTGCCATGTAAAATGTAATTGCGCGCTATATTTCATTAAATGAAAGTAATTTCCGTATGCGTTAACAAATATAACAAATTATTACATTGTTTGGTTAGCGTAATTTTGCGTACGTTTTTCTCATTTTAGTTACTTTAATCAGCCTTCGAGGAGGCTCCTCTCATTTATTCGAGCAGTTAATTAAAATTAACATTAATTAAAAATTGATTTATTATTTTTAAAATACTATTTATCAATTTATAATTGTTTTTAACGCTCTTCATTAATTCAGTAGCAAATGAATTTACTCGATAAATAAAATGCGCTGATGAAGTATTAATTGCCTGATATGTAATAAATATAATCCATTCATATCCTTTTGATTAATATTTCCATCACACTTTTATAAATGTGATCCGCAATTTTAATACGTGAATAATTTACGTTTTAAGCATATAAATTTTTTCGAATAAACGCCGATTTTATTATTTATCAATTACGTGCGTCGAGCGGTCATTTAATATAAACAAGGAAGAAAAAGGAAGAAAAAATTTAAAAGAAAAAAAAAAAATAAAAAAACTATGAAAGATAAAGGATTAAAATAAAATGTATTAAATTTAATGTTTAAATGTCCGTTGTCGTCAAAATTTATTGACTCGGATTTTCCCAATTAATCCGATTTCTATTTATTCCTAAATATTATTCTAATCATTATGGCCGAATAAGAATAAATTACTTTCAAAGCATTATTAATTATAATTAATTTTTTTTATAATAACAAATCCACCATTAGCTTATTTATTTCCCGTATATTTTAATGGTACTTTGTTCACGTCACGTTAAAACCAACTGCCAATACAATCTACGACTATTCATTATCGCATTAAACAACACACGGCTTCGTTAATGTCATAAATTCAGCTTATTATTAAATAAACTTGGTCGATCCAAGTGATCGACAGATCATTCCTGATCAATTATTGAACTTTAAGTGCATTTGTCAGATGATCCCGAAAGCACACGTTTGGTTAAATTCGTTGATGGAAAAAAAAAACTTTCTATAACTTGGAATTATGCATCTACCGAAGTTCGAGCCTCACCAGACGAACTTGTCGATTCTATGTCCTGTCGCTCCTCCCAATGCTCAACGTCTCAATGTAAATATAAGAAACTATCGAGGTCGATTCGATGTTCAACTTGCGTCAACTCCAAGCAGTGCGCTAACACGAATGCCAACGTGTCAGTGTAACACAACGCGTCAAATGCCCGTACATTCTTATCAATAGTACTCGCACCGATGTAAGATCGGCCACTCTCATCCAAAACTCACCAATGCGTATCTCGGCTCATTTTGGTATATGGTGCCGACCCTTGTCCAGTTGAACTGCGCCAGGAGGGCGAAGCGCGGGGCATTGAAGGCGTTCTCCGACGGCACTATTCTGAAGAAATTCGGGAAGCTGTCGCTCGTGAACATCGGATGCGTGTCTGCGTAGCTGAGCTGCAACAGAAGAGGAGAGGAACATCGTCATCTACGAGTTTCATTTATCGCCTCATTATAAATTCGACGATATTCGATTGCAATGTCTTTGTATGTATTTTGGGGATTGCTCGAGCGAATGCCAAATCTACGGAAGATGATTGGGGGGTGGGGGGGGGGGGGAGGCTCGCACCCGCCCTACATTTTCTCCCGTACGAAATGGCTGAAAAGCTTTCGTTCGTTGGCCTCCATCGCTTTCAACGAATGTACACGCAAAGCCATTGGGTGCGTGCATCCTTGTCGGGCACTGGTATTCTTTCAGACGTAAGTAATATTCCAATTGTTTTGTAAAGACGGCAACGGGAGCGCCGAGACTAGCTTTCCCGAATGATATTCCGGCCGTTCATTACGAATCTACGCGAACTTCCAACAAGAAATAAGCAATGCTGCATAGAAAAATAATTTACGTACACTCGAGGATGAGCTATGATTATTCTGTTGGATTTTCATTAAAGCAGCAATGCTCAACGAATTATTAAGCTTTCTTTTGCCATTTTTATAAGACAGTATTCCTTTATGCATCTGAGTGCTCCTCCGAGCCTGCTGTCGTCCTTTCACATTTCAACATCGCCAAACATTGGCATTTCTCTGGAACTTAATAAAATATGAATTCCATTATTTTCGTAAGTTCGGAGCTCCGTGACTCGCCTATCAAATCGGGTATCGACACGAGAATCTAATATCATTTTTCTATTGATATTGCTATTTAAATTTATTGCACTTGTCCCATCATTTTCATCATTCAGTTTGACAATTTTCTCACCGATGACTGATAATCCTTACTCGCACTTCGCCATTTTTATTCGACTTATTCACTTTTACGATCCATATCACGAGCAACATGATACGATGAGTAGCTGGTGAGAGTAGCGTGCAACTTTTTTTTTTTAAGGATCTCTTTATTAATCGAGTTATTCATCCCGGCGATAAACAGACGAGACATGAATTATCAATCCATACGTCCGTCCAAAGTATTTTATAGAAATGGCTTGTGTTTGAGCAATCGAGCCATGTAATTGTGGCAACTAGAGAGTTTGTCGACGAGACCGGTACAGAGGACAGTGTCCTTTGCAATTATAAGCGCGATATCCTCCAAGTGTACGTATATTACATCTTGCATCGTCCTATCTTATGTATCAAAGATAAATAACACTGATCTTATCTGACTTATCCAAGTCTTCGTTATAGAGCTAATCGTACATTATATTTAAATAAAATTCTTCAAATGAATGTCAAGTACGCTTTTATTTAAGAAAGGATTGGCATTCGGCCAATGAGTTTTAAAGCTCCAACCCATAATTTGCGCGCAATAATTGCAATTAATTGGGTCGGAAGTATGTTGCAAAAAAAAAAAAAAAAAATTATTGAAAATCATCAGATTAACAAACAAAATTAATTAACGTCCAACTATTCAATCCAAGCTGCATAAAATAATTTTCTAGACAATGCTGTAATACGTTTACGATCAATGATAATTCGATATTTATAATAAGTTTATTTACCTGGTGCCATTCTTAATAACTCTATTTCATTATCTCGCTTTGTTCTTTGATTGGACTTTTATTTAAGAGGTCTAAGTTTTTTAATTAATTATACAAAACGTCTTTGCTTGTTTATAAATTTTATTGACAAATCCTTTGCTTTTGTATTTAATTGAATACTCGACAATTGAAGTAGAAGAAAATTTATAAGGCTCGAAGCTACATGACATTTCTTTTATTGAATATATTCTCTATGTTAAATATTGGATAATAATAACATTAATTATGACCGCAATCAGAATGTTTCGTGGAAATGGAATTTTTCATTCACGAATCGACTGATATTTGTGTATGGCTGTACGCGAGTACGAGCGTTTAAATTGCATATGTGTAATTGTGCATATATGTAATATAATTAAAATTGTGAGATAGCGTTGTGCATAAATAAAGGAGATCAATACATTTTTAAAATACATTCACAAATACAATATGTTATTTATTATTGATGTAAACTATATCAATAAACGGTGGAGAACAATTTGAAGCAATTATAAAATTATAAAATACTTTTCACGTTTCACGTGATTTGTAGTAACAAATTATTAATTTTTTGTAAACTTCAAAGATATAATTTCCCCCTCCCTCCCCCCGTTAGCGTTCAAATAAATAATCTTGACTTAAACAATAGAATGATAGCTGATATTATTCTTATAAATTCATAATCTCTAACTTACATACGTACATATGTGTTACCCGAGCAATTATATACTATCGAAGAGTAATTATTAATTTTCGTCAATTTTAGTAAACAATTTTAATAACAATAATAAAGAATATTCTATTTTTTTTTTTTTTTTTTTTTTTTTTTTTAATATGTTGGGTAATTAATTGTTTATGTTAAATTAAAGACTTGGCTCTCTACAAGACTAGAATGTGTGCTTTGGACTAAAATAATCAATACCGAAATTGTGAAAATAAACTTATATACTTTGCGATTCTCGTACTTGAAAAGCTTCGAAGATTCGGTCAATAGAGCCATACATAACGTTTACACATGTATTGTGGTAAACTGAAAATCTTTTAAATCAACATCATGAAATGAAAACAATTAGCAAAATTTTATATACACATGTATTTAATAAATTGAATTAATTATCGAATAACGTGTAAACAAAACAAAAACAAAAACAAAACATAAACAAAAAAATAGTTGCATTCTCAATATAACTAAATGACAATGTAACTATCAAGTGATACTTTAATTATTTCACAAAAAATCTGTCAATAGTTTAGATCATTAGTAAAAACTATTTTCGCAAATGTATACAATGCTTCTGTTGTTCAATTGCTGGCGAACAGAATGTGTAAATTACTATATAATTCATTTAATTGAATTATTAATTTAATTGCATTGCTCTACCGACAATAAAATGATTTGTCTTTATTATCCAACAATACATATGTCAGCACGAAATACGTAATTTACATGCACAATATATCGAATAAATGCATAAATCTGCAATTTTTATACACAAAAAATGCATATGAATTAACTCGAACTACTTTAAAATTTTACAAAACTAATTTCAAGCTAACAGTTTTAACATAGAAGGTCATGCGGGGCTGCTCACGTAAGCAACAAGTAAGCACTAGGAGGTCCTCGATAGACGGTTACTCAACCTGAAAATCGAGAACTCACGGCAAGACGGACAAAAGGCGAGAATGATGCGTTCAAGGAGCTGGAACTTTAGAAGTGCTTCGCTATCACTTGGCACGTACTCATGCTTTATTTTCTCTTTATGTCTCTCCTTGTGCGTAGCATCCCTTATCACTCGCATGCTCATGAACGTGTGAGCGCGATCTTACCAACCGGATTTAATGACATTCGCTTGCCGTTTTAAAGTCCCTTCACAATCGGCTAACGCCACGTTATCCTCATGTTAATACATTGGCAATTGTCATTGGCATATTGTCGTTCGTCTTTAAATTATGCAATATTTTCCAATGCAGAGCGAAAGCGCCTTAGTAGGAATAGTCGAAATTCCGTTTTATAAAATATCAGTTTGTTTGGAAATGAACGATTATTATTTTGATTAGAAACGGATGGATGGATATCATTTGACGTTATCATTAGTCGAGGCTAATTGTATTCGAGTACTCGGTTTATAGGATAAATTGAGCACTCGCCAATTCAAGCAAGTGTACTCCGCGTGCTAGATCACTAAATTCTACCTGGCGCGTATTATTATGCATTGCGATCACGAATCGTTAGATAGAGAATAAATGTAATCGAAATTATTAATAGCATAAATAATAATCCAAAATGTGGTCCGATTACTTTTAATTCAATTTGATTTAAAATATTTGCGAGTTTATGTTTACTCGTATGTGCATGTTTTTCACCTTCGATTTACTTACTCACGGCTCAAAAACATACGATAATGATAAATTATCTGTCAGTCGTAGCTACTGTAACTTTATGACATTATGTACTTTTCAATGTCTTGCAAGATTCTCGACTTTTGTAAGAAATTAAAGCCCGCAATTTCCAATGTAAATTAATTAGATTATTATGGATTAGAAAAAAAAAAAAAAATAAAATAAAAAAAAAATAAATAAATAAAAAAAGTAAATTACCTAACGAATCTTGCTTCTTTGCATTAGTGTATTTATGATAATTCGTAAAATCTTGTACTAATAAAGAATAATAGTAGAATAATATTACATAATAGTATGTTCACAGTACTATTTCAGTATGGATAAGTTAATTAATGATAAAACCGAGAGCTGAATTAATTAGAAATTGATAAATACTTTTTCTCGACTCTACTTGTACCACTCTACTAGTGCCACGTAAGAAAATTCTTTGAAATACAAAGTGTTTTTAATACGCTTAATATGTATAATGTAAGCTTGTTTTATAATATACACGAGGATCGGATAAAATATGTATAAAAACAATTATATAACATAATCTTTAATTTCAATTTGGTAAACGCTCTATTTGCTCGTCCAAATCGTACATTCTTTTACTTGAATATTGCCAATCAATGTTAACATTGTTCTAACGATTAATAAAATTGCAATTTATTTTACTTTTCAACGAGTTTATACGCTACGTATCATTAAAGCTTAATTAATTACATAAATGTTTATTCACAGAATGTGATATGGATAATCACAAGGACATGGTGGTACTAATTTGCAGTATATTCAAATTACTTTATCGTTACCAAATTTTGTAGGATTACAATTCATTTCTACGTCGCGAGTTATATTATGTCGCATGAATCATCCACAGGATCCACAGGACAAAAATAGAAAAACGAAACAAACAAATAATTCACGTTGAAAATCCTTTGACATACGATGGAAGACAGCAGCGCGGCAAAAGATTATAGAAAATTTATTCGTACAATTGGTTGCCAACGTATTCAACACTCGAACTTTATTTAGTAAATGGAAAGAATTAAGAGTTAT